ATTTCTTTATTGGTTCATTAATTTTGGGAGAATTTCAGTTTTTAAGTTCCTTATATATTCTGGTTATCAGTCCTTTTGTCTGATGTGTATTGGCAAATTTTCTCCCACTCTGTGGGTGTTCTCTTCAGTTTAGAGACCATTTCTTTTTGATGACAGAAGCTTTTTAGTTTTATTGAGGTTCCCAATTTATCTATGCTATCTTCTTAGTTCTGTGCCTGCTGGGTTCATTGAGAAAGTCTTACCGTATACCTACTAACTCCAGAAGTATTTCCTACTCTTTCTATGTATCACTTAAGAGTTGGCGTCTGATATTAAGATCCTTGATCCACTTTGAGTTAATCTTGCGTATAGGTGATATACATGGGATCTAGTTTCAGTTTTTTGCAGCACTGCTATACCAGTTTTCCCAGCATTTTTTTGTTTGAGAGGCTGCTATTTCTCCATCGTATTATTTTTAGCTCCTTTTGTCAAAGATAAGTTGCTCAATAGCTTGTGTGTGCTTCATATCTGGATCCTCTATTCTGTTGCACTGGTTCTTCATGTCTGTTTTTTGTGCCAGTACAATGCTGGTTTTTTTGTTATTGCTTTGTAATATAGTTTGAAGTCAGTATTGATGATTACTCCTGATTGTTTCTTTTGACGAGTATTGCCTTTGGCTATTCGTGGCCTCTTGTGTTTCCATAAAATTTAACAGTAGATTTTTTCAATCTCTTTAATGAATGTCATTGGAATTTTTTGATGGGAATTGCATTAACATGTAGATTACTTTGGGGAGTATCGACATTTTTACTATGTTGATTCTACCAATCCATGAGCATGGGAGATCTTCTCCACTTTCTATAGTCTTCCTCATCTCTTTCTTCAGAAGATGTATAGTTTTCCTTGTAGAGGCTTTCACTATTCTTTTGTTAGGTTTACACCTAGGTATTTGATTATTGTTTGATGGGATTGTAAATGAATTGTTGTCATACAGTCTTTTTCCATTTGCTCATCTGTTAGTGTATAGAAATGCTAACATGGGATTTTTCTATGTTGATTTCTATATCCTGCTACCTTGCTATAAGCTATTGATGATGTCTAGAAGCTTTTGGAGTAGAGTTTTTTGGGCTTTAAAGCGTATAGGATCAGTTCGGGCTGCAAATAGGGCATATTTTTGACAGTTTAATTTACCTATTTGTATTCCTTCTTATTCCTTTTTCTTGCCTAATCTGCTCTGGCTAGGAGATTCATACTATGTTGAATAGGAGTGGAATAAGTGGATCCTTGTCTGGTTCCTGTATTTTAGAGGGAATGGTTTTAATTTTATCTCGTTTAAATTATAATGTGCTGTAGGTTTGTCATATATAAGCCTTTTCATAATGTTGAG